GGAGGTAGAAAATAATTAAGTATTGTAAAAAAAAAAAAAAAAGTTAATATATTTTTCCAAAGTGGAGTTATACTTATTGACTGAAAAATTAAGTACCGACAATAAACATGGATTTTCATTAAGTTATTCAAGAACATTTATTCCATATTTACTATCTACCAAACAATGTGCTAAGTGTCATGGGAAATAATGGAGCTGAGAAGACAAAGTCTATGCCTTCAAAGAATTTATAAGCCTTTTTTTTTTTTTTGTCTATTCAAACTTGACTCTCTACAGGAGAGAAAAAATAGAGAGAGAGAGCTTCTGAAGGTCATAAGGGAGAGCTTGAATTTCCTTATAGATCTACTTTGGTTTTTATATTTGGTGCATTTTTTATTATTATTACTTTAAAAAAAAAAGTCTAACACAATAATACCATGTTTTCAAGAGGTGACTTACATGGTTTTACACAATCTGACCATTTGAACTTTTAAAGGTTTTACCTGTCCTTGAGCCATTCTTATGTGACTGGGCTCTCTGTTTATTTTTGTGGCAATCATTGGCATTGGGAACCCCAATTTGGCACTGTGTCCAACAGATTTTGCTGAAGGCACACTTGCTATTTTGAAAATCTCAGATGTTAGTAGAGTGCCTGACATGGTAGTTGAATTAACAAATATAAGAATAAATAGATGATCCTACTTGTCTACTCTGTTCTTTCCTCTGAATTTTTATAAACTTATTATTTTTGCCTTCTTAGGAGAGAAGTTACATGGGGCTTTATATTGATTCTTTTTCATTTAATGTGTTATATTTTATTCATTCTAAATGAACTACATTTTCCTTATCATTTCCTCCAGGGTGCCTACCACAGGTCTCTATCCCTGCCAAATGAAATATTTTTTTTTTTCCATTTTTCTTTCTGTCTTCTTCTCAATTAACTAAAGAACATAAAAATGTATTTTAAAATAGTGGTTGAATAAAATTGTACTCTCTCTGACCTTACTTTTTAAAGAGGTGAGTTCAGTAATGTATCCTTCTTTTTATAATTATCTTATTATTTTTTTTATTTTTTGCAGTAATTTATCCTTCTTTTAAGAAAAACAGCAAATGACACAAAACCCACCAAACAAAAAGCCAAACCCATTGTAGTCAGTGAAATGTGACTCATGGAGATACCACGCGCTGCAGGGTAGAACTGCACTCCAGAGCATCTTCAAGGCTCTGACCTTGAAGACGCTGATTGTCAAGGCTTTCTTCCAAGGCACCTCTGGGTGGGTTCATACAGTCAACCTTTCAGATTCAAACACTTAAACAAATTCTTCTTAACCAAGTATGACATTCTGAATAGGAGACAGCAACATCCAAACCAAGTACTACTGTAAGGGACTTTTCCTAGAGATCTCTGACAGCCCAACAAAGATGAGGAGGTAAGAGGAGAAGAGAAAATGGGAAGTCATCAAGGAAAATGAAAGAACCCAGTTCAAGGAATTTCAACAACCAATGTAGTGAAGCCTTCCCAAGGAGAAAATTACCAACCAAAAGGTGCTTACCTTTGCACCCCTCACAGGTCAGCGCATTATAGTGGTATCCAGATGCTCTGTCTCCACAAACGACACACAGTTCGTCCCCCTTAATTCTCCCTGCCGATGTGCCCATCCTCGCCTTCTTGATTACAGGAAGCTCTGCTGCCTCAGTCTCACCCTGGTAGAAAGTCTCAGCTGGCATTCGCCTGAGTTCATATATTCCAGGAGAGTACCACTCTTCAGGCTGCTGCGGGTAGAAACCCAAGTTGGAATAATAAGAAGATGAGGAAATCTGTGGCTGAACTTGGGGAAACTGAGCATTGCTGTATTGTGAATACAATTCCACTTCTAGATTCTGTCCCAGAGGACCTGCTGCTTCTTCTGTGAGTACACCTGTACAAAAGTGACAAAAAAACTGAAATTAATATCATCATCCTGTAAATTAGAGAGGTCATTTAGCAAAATGGTTAGGAGTGTGGACTCTAAGACTAAAATATTTGACTACACAAAAATTAACAACTTTTGTATAAAAAAAAACTATAAAAAGATTTAATTATAAGCTCAGAAAAATATCTGCAAAATAGAGAACAGATCAAAGACTCTGATCAATATGTAAAGAGCTCTCACAAACCAATAAGAAAACATTCAGCAACCCTATGGGGTAAGAAAGGATAAAGGACATGAATTTTTCAGAAATATAAACACAAGTGTTCTATAAACATTCAAAAAGACCAGGTTTGCATTAATTAGAGAAATTCAAATTGATGCTACAATACAACATTGTTTCATCCTCAAAAGTCCAAAAGTTTTAAAAGTTTGATAATTCACACTATTGGGAAGATAGACATTCTTTTTTTAAAATTATTTTTTATTATAGTGAAAATATAAATAGCAAAACCAACCCCACTGCCATCAAGTTGATTCGGACTCATAGCAACCGTTTTTTAGGACAGAGTAGAACTTCCCCATAGGGTTTCCAAGGCTATAAATTTTTACAGAAGCAGATTGCCTCATGTTTCTCCTGCCAGAAGAGCTGGTGGGTTCCAGCTGCCAAGCTTTTTTGGTTAGCAGTCAAATTGGCACCAGAGTGCCTTATAAATAACCAGGCATTTGCCATTTCAACATTTTTTTTAACATGAACAATTCAGTGACATCAATTATGTTCATCATATTATGCAATCATCACCACTATCTATTTCTAAAACTTTTGCATCACCTCAAACGGAAACCCAGTACCCGTTAAGCAACAATTCCTCAATCCTTCCTCCCCCAGCCCCTGGTAACCACCAATATACACTTGTCTCTCTGCATTTGCCTATTCTAGATACTTCATATTTGCCCTTCTTTGATCTGGTTTATTTCACTCAGCATGTTTCCAAGTTTCCTCTATGTCATAGTATGCATGAGGACTTCATACCTCTTTATGGCTGAGGAGTATTCTATCATATGCATATACCACATTTTGTTTATCCACTCATCTGTTGATGGACATTTGTGTTACTTCTAACTTTTGGCTATTGTGAATAGTGCTGCAATGGACATTGGTGTACATGTATCTGTTTACATCTCTGCTTTCAATTGTTTGTGATATATACTGTGGTAGTTAAGTTGTGTGTCAGCTTGACTGGGCCTGGTTTTGAGTGGCTGAGCAACTGGATGTAGATATTCTCCAGGTTGAGACTGGTACTCAACTCCATGGTGGAATCTACTGCAGCAGCTGAGTAGCTGCCTTAGGGATATGGTCTGCTTCCAGTATACAAGAAGATAGCTTTGAGAACGGTTTCTGAGCTTTTGGGCATGCTTGGACCTGCATGTAGCCGAGTGTTCATTCAGCAGCCTGCTATGTTTCCTGCCGATCCTAGGAATGTCTCTGGACTTGAACTAGTGGCCCGCCATGCTGTTTTATAATCTTAGGACTGTGCCATTTTTCCTGTAGACCTTGGGTTTGTCAGCCTCAGCAGCAGCAGCTGCCTGAGTTAAGAGACACCTCCAGCATCAGTGAGCCATGAGCAGAGCTGAGGCAAGGTCAAGGGACTTTTACCCAGCCCCTAGAGCTGGCACTTTGAACTTGGACTTCTAGGCTTCTAAACCATGAGAGAATAAACTCCTATTTGTTAAAGCCACCCACTTGTGGTACTTTTCTGTTAGAGCAGCACTAGAGGACCAGTACATATACCTAGAATTGGAATGGCTAATCTGATGGTAATTCTGTTTAACTTAAAAAAAAAAAACCTTAAGTAATATATTAGTAGCATATATCTGATTCTTTGCCAGAATATAAAGCTGAAGGGTATTCCTTCATACTAGAAAATTAACTACATAATTACGGTACCCTATGTGCAAATGGAGAAGCCATTGTTGCTCAGTGGCTGAGTGCTGGACTGCTAATTAAAAGGTTGGCAGTTCTAATCCATCAGCTCCTCCAGGGAGAAAGATGTGGCAGCCTGCTTTCATAAAGATTTATAGTCTCGGAATCCTGTGGGATGGTAGTACTCTGTCCTATAGAATCAATGTGATTTGGAATAGATTAGATGGCAACAGGTTTTTGTGGGGGTGGGGATAAGTGCAATTGTATACATACTGAAAAACTCTGAAAAATTTTAATCAAAATCCACTTTCAGTTTGTTAAATTATTTCTTGGGGGAACCACTGAGGGAGATACAGCATCACTATAGGCAAATCACAAATCTCTTCAGAATTAATTCTGGTTTGTTTTTTTTTTGGGGGGGGGGGGGCAATTTTATAAAGCAGATTTCTTTTCCATTCAATAGTTCATATAGGCATTTTGTTTTGTGACACTGGTTACATTCCGAACAGTGTAACATCTCACCTCCCACTTCCTCCCAGGGTTACCCCTTCCCTGTGTTCTTCTTGCCTATGCATTCCTGTCTCCCTACATTTCTCCCTGCGTGAATGCTGCCCTTCTGATCTCCCATGGTTGACTGCTCTAAGGAGTGCATCCTCCTGGTGTAGGTGTTCAGGTTGTAGGCCTGTCTGTTGTTTGGCTGAGAGTTAAGCCATGGGAGTGAGTTCAATCCTAGGCCCGAAGGGTGACTCGAGGCCATAGCCTCATGTTCTGAATTAATTCTTATAAAGCCAGTTTTCATTGTGTTGGTACAAATAATGCAGCAGTAGTGGCAGGTTGGGTGAAGGCAAAATTTTACCTTAGTTTCTCCAAAAGCTGTCTCACTTGATTCAGGAGGGCCTGCGAATACCCAGGAATCATCTGCCATGAGTTGTGTTCCTGAAAGTTTGTAGCATCACTAAGAATGGCTCTTATGACCTGTCCATAGTTGGGGGATTGCTTTATCTGGTAAAATCTTTGTATCTCTCAGTAAAGAGAAGATGAGGTATAAGAAAGAGCTTTGCCATTTGGTGGGAGACAGGGATGTCTTTTGGATGTTACAGTAAAATTCATCAAGTACAGTTTTGTGCTGTGTTTCCCAAGGTCTTTAATGCATCCTGCTGGGGCATAGGCTTTCTTGATTGCAGTTGGGGTTCTCAGCTGTCTCAGCAGTTTAACTTGTACTTGAGTCACTAGATATAAATTAGGCATTTCTCTCTTCAGTTCCCAGTATACATGCTGCATTATCACTTGAAATACTTAGTCTTTGGAGATTTCTGCTCTTCTCCTGGTACAGATTTGTGTAGCTCTATTTTGAGATTGCTACATTCTTTTTTCATTAGTTCCAGTTCTTGTTCCAACATGGATCTTCAAGTCACAGCTCAACTTTTCCGCCTCCCAGTTTGATGAAAATCCATTGCCATCTAGTGGATTCCAACTCATAGCGACCCCAATTGGTTCACAGTAAATCTTTACAGAAGTAGATTGCCCTGTCTTCCTTCTGCTGAGTGGTCATGGGTTTGAACGTCAGCCTTCTGGTTCGCAGTCAAATGCCTTAGGCACTGAGCCACCAGAGCTCCTTAGTTTGATGAAGGTAAGGTGGATTTAAATGCCTCATCATTGCTGAGTTTTCACCTCTTTCCTTAGCATAAACAGACAAACAAAAAAAAACAAACTCACTGCCATCTAGTTGATTCCAACTCATAGCAACCCCCTTTGGGTTTCCAAGGCCGTATATCTTTACAGAAGTAGATTGCCCACTCTTCCTTCCACATAAGGTGTGTTTAACTTTCCGAGGAACCAGCAAACTGTTCTCCACAACCACTGCAGCATTGTACAATTGGAACAATGGATGAGAGTTCCAATTTCTCCACCTCCTCATCAACACTTGTTGTTTGAAAGCTGATATTCTTGAAGTGCAATTTTACGATATCTTTCAGCATTTGAAATTCAAATACCCTTTTAACCCAGTAATTCTAATGCTAGAAATTTATGCGGGAGATATGTTTGAACATGTATGTAAAAATGTTTGTGCAGAATTGTTCATTTGCAACAATATTTGAAACAGTCAGTAACTGGAAACAATTTAAATACCCATCAGCAGGAGCTCTGCTAGCATAGTGCCTAAGGCACTTGACTGCTCACCAGAAGGCTGGCGGTTCAAACCCACCAGCCACTCGGAAGGAAGGTTGGGTAATCCTACTTCTGTAGTGATACTGCCTGGGAAACCCAAGGAGGGGTCGCTATGAGTCGGGGCCGACTCGACGGCAAACAACAACAACAGGACTCTGGTTAAATTATTCAACATCCACACACTTGAAATAGTATGTAGGTCTGAAACGATGTAGACCTATATGAGTTGAAATCAACTTGATGACATTTTTTTTTTGGTGTTGATATGTAAAGGTTCTATGATATGGTGCTATTTAAAATATAAGCTATAGAACAATATGTTTATTCTTGTGTATTTTAAAATGTGTGTGTGAAAGGGTGTGTGTGTGTGTGTGTGTGAGTATGCAAGGCAAGTTTCTTCATGAATACAAAAAAATGTGGATGGTGATAACTAGAGAAAGGAGGATTGTTGGATAGTTTCCTAAGGTGGGCTATGGTACAATCTTTTCACTTTTTGTAATTTTTACCACTACAAATAAATCATTATGTGTTCCCTTAATTACTATAAAACAAAGCTGGCCAGAGGAGGCTTGTGCTCTGGTGTTTTCAATGGCTAGTTTTTGAGACTTGACTGCTAACCAGAAGGCTGGCCGTTCAAACCCACCAGCCACTCCTCGGAAGGCTGGGCAATCTACTTCTCTAGTGATACGGCCTCAGAAACCCAAAGAGGGGTCGCTATGAGTTGGGTCCGACTCAAGGCCACATAACAGCAACAACAACAGTTTTTCAGAAGCAGATCACCAGATCTTTCTTCTGGGAAGCCTCTGGGTGAGCTCTACCATCCAAACTTACAGATAGCAGCTGAGGGCATTAATTGTTTGCACTACCTAGGGTCTCCATAAAACAAAGGAGGAACTTAAAAAAAAAATAGGGCCTA